GACAAAGGACTTGAATAGACATTTTTCCAAAGATGATACAGAAACGGCCAGCAAGCATATGAAAAGATGCTCAACCTCACTAATAATTAGGGAAATGCAAATCAAAACCACAATGAGATACCGCCTCATACCCATTAAACTAGCTACTAGCAAACAAACAGAATAACAAGTGTTGACAAGGATGTGGAAAAATTGGACCCCTTGTGCACTGTTGGTGGCATTGTAACTGCTATGAAAAACAGGATGACAATTTCTCAAATCAAAACCATATGATCCAGGGCCAGCCGAGTGGCTCAGTTGGTTAAGAGCTCGCTCAAGAGTGCAAGCTCTGAGCAACAGTGGTTCGATTCCCGGCCCGAGCTGAGCCACCAACAGGTGACAGGATGGCTCAGCTAAAAAAAAAAAACCATATGATCCAGCAACCCCATCTCCTGGATATATATCCAAAAAAATTGAAAGCAGGGTCTCAAAGAGATATTTGCACACCCATTTCAAAGCAGCATTATTCACAGAAGCCAAGAGGTGGAAACAACACAAGTTTCTATCAACATGAATGGATAAACAAAATCCCATAATGCAATAGAATATTATTCAGCCTTAAAAAGGAATAAAATCCTGCCACATGCTACAATATGGAGGAAGTTTAAGGATATTGTGCTAAGTGAAATAAGCCAGTCACAAAAAGAGAAATAATGTATGATTCTACTTATGAGGTATCTAAAATAGTCAATTCATAGAGACAAAGTAGAATAGTGGTTACCAAGGGCTGGTGGGAAAGAGAAAGGGGGAGTTGTTTAATCAGAATTGAGTTTCAAATTTTGTAGGATGAGAAAGTTCTGAAGATATGTTTCCCAATAATGTAAATATACTTAGCACTACTGAATTATATACCTAAATATAGTTAAGATGGTAAATTTTATGTTTTTTTCACAACATATATATATATGCATACATACATAAATTTTAAAATAAAAAGGGAAAAGTAACAAGAGTAACTACAATGGAGACACCATTTTATTTTTAATTTTTTAATTTTTTTTAAAGATTTTTTTTATGGGGGAGTTGGGGGAAGGGGAACAGACAAGTTGCTGTCCTTTTGTTCTTCAGTCTAGTTGTGGAGGACGTTGCTTCACTGGCCCAAGTTGACACCATCATTGTGCTCTTCCCGGGCGAGGCAGATCAGTTGCCGGTTTCTGGACGGCTGCTCACGGTGGCTGCTGGCCGCTCGCGCTGGCTGCTGGCTACACATGGTAGCCCATGGCAACCCACTGCAGCAGTGGCTGCAGCCTACACCGTCGCTGGCGACTCACGGCAGCCCAGTTCCAGGTTGAGCTGTTGTTCAGCATCTTAGCTGTAGAGAGCAGTGTCACTGGCCCTCATATGTGGGATCTGAACCGGGGTCCTCTGGTATTCCAAGCCAGCTCTTAACCAATGCACCACTCAGCCGGCCCTACATCGTATATTTGTGTCAAAGGTGTATAAGACTCACTTTGTCGGACTTACGAACAAATCCGACTTACGTTCTCCCGGAACGGAACTTGTTCGTAAGTCGGGGACTTACTGTACATTTTAACTTGGTAAACGAGCGATGTCTTGCAATACGAGTAGTTTGTTTCTGGAACAAATTATGCTTTGCAGACCAAGGTATTACTGTACCACATTTCTCTTTTTTGCCTTGGCCTTCAGGAAGCTAAAAGCCAGGTTTTATCATCATCACAATTAATGCTTATGCAAATCCATACTGACTTCTTCCATTTTCTTCTTGGTCTTAATTGTCTACTTTCTAGTGAAATAACATGTTTCTCTTTTCACCCCTGATATTAAAGAGCTTATCACCAGGTTTAAAAATCAGTCATCACCTAATTGTAAAGTCCATTAGAGCTAATATTTATGCCTATCAATATTAGCTTCCCTTATTTTTTTTCAGTTGTAAGTTTTATTTTGAAATAATTTCACACTAAAATTTCAAAAATGTTACAGATGCCATAGAAAATGGTATGGCAGTTCCCCCCAAAATTAAAAATGGAATTACTATATGATCCAGCAGTACCATTTCTGAGCATATATATCTATATCTATATATCTATATAGATATATAGATATCAAAAGAATTGAAAACAGGGTCTTGAAGATATTTGTATACCCAAATTCACAGCAGCATTATTCACAATAGCCAAAAGGTGGAAACAACCCAATGTCCACTGACAGATGAATGGACAGTGTGGTATATGCATATAATGGAATATTATTTCGCCTTAAAAAGGAAGGAAATTTTGACACGTGCTACAACATGGATGATCCTTGAGAACATTATGCTAAGTGAAATAAGACATTTACAAAAAGATCAATATTGTATAATTCCACTTACGCTGTGTGATCAAATAATACGGTGAATGCTGCCACTGAGTGCCATCCAACAGAAAGGCAGGGATCTTCAATACGGGAATTGGTGCATCGAACTTTAATAACAGTGTGTGACAAGTTTCAACTTGTTCAGTGCAGTCAGTCAGGTGAAGCCACGGTTGTGAGAAGGTGTTTTAAAGTGTGCCATAAATCATGGATCATGAACTACGCATTAACATGTGATGGGCAAACGGTTTCATCCTCCATCATGACGATGCCTGGTTATCACACATTGCTTCTGGTACAGCAATTCCTATCAAATAAAAAGATTATGGCGTGTCCTCATCCACCTTATTCACCGGATCTGGCTCTTCCCCAAAGTCAAATGACTAAGAAAGATAAACGTTTTGAATCGATTCAGGACATCGAGGCAGCCACAACAGCGCAACTAAAGACATTCACAAAAGAGGACTTCCAGAACTGCTTCAAAAAGTGGCAAGAACAATGTGATGTGTGTTCAAAACAAGGGGGAGAATTTTGAGGAGGACTAATGACAATGTGTCTTTTACTGTAATAATTTTTTATTTAAACATTCACTATATTGTTTGATCACACCTCGTATATAAGGTATCTAAAGTAGTCAAATGCATAGTGACAGAAACGAAAAGGTCGTTTCCAGAGGATGGGAGAGAGGGGAATGGTTTGTTCTTATTTAATGTGTACAGACTTGCAGTTTTACACGGTGAAGAGAGATTTGGAGATAGATGGTGGTGATGGTTGCATAACACTATAAAAGTACTTAATGCCACTGAACACTGAAAAAAATGGCTGAGAGGATAGATTTTATGTGTACTGTATGTGTACATATGTATGTACATACTGTATGTGCAAAAAATGGTTAAAAAAACTAACAACCCTTCACTCTGATTCGCCAGTTGTTATCATGTTTGTATTTGCTTTGCCATTCTAAATATACACATATTTCTGTATCATTTGAAAGTTGAAGAAATCATCTCCCTTAATTGCCAACTATGTATTCCTTAAGAACAAGGAGATTCTCCTACATAACCACAGTACGATTACCAACATCAGGACATTTACCATTAGTACAATACTATGATCTCATCTGCAGTTCATTTTCACACTTCACCAAAGGTCTCAATAATCCATTTTCTTCTTGACTCTGATTTCCTGTTAGGGACGGGTAGGCTCCAAAAGTAGCAGAATAGGTGGCGGCAAAACAAGAGAGCGGGTCAGGGGCCCTGCACAGCCCTGGGTTTAGGAGGAGGCTAGAACAACTACTGGACCCCTCAAATATTACAGATGATAGCAATAACGCTCCAGAAAGGGAAGGAGCCTGGCTGAAAGTCAGGTAGCACCTATCCCAACGTGCCACCTTCCCAGTGCCCCCCAGCTCTGTCCCCAAGGCTAGAGCCCACTGCCTTCGGCAGTCATGAAAAACCCTTATTCAAGCTTTCTGCAGCTTCTCAGCCACCTGGAAACAACTCGTCCTCGTTAGCTCTGAACCAGTGATTAAAGATTTTGCAACTCAACACCCTTGTGGTTAAGCCCCTAAATCCCCAAACAGCAAAAGGGCATCACAGCAAAATGGCCTCTGGTGGTACTATGGGAGCTGCAAGGTGACCCACCTCACCCCTTAGACTTCCCATAACCGGAAGGTAAGCTTTTCCATGAGTTATACAAAAGGAATAGAAGATTTCAAGGATGCTTTTGCTTTCCACCCCAAGATGGAAATCTTACACATTTGCTATAGCAAATACTGGCAACATCTCCCGTGTTTATTTTTCAAATGGGTTTTTTCATTTTCTCCAAACAGTGGAAGCTGTTAGTGCTGGGGTCTATATTTTTGGCTCAAGTGGCCTGGGTGTGCCTCTTCAAGTATGACTGTGCTTATTTACACATGGAAAATCATTCCAGAGGGTGAGTATATTCTCTAGCACGGTTCCGGGTTGTGTGTACAGGATTTCTTTTATGAAAACAGGTGGCTCATGTGGGATAAATGAGTAACGTGGTGTAACAGTGCATACACTGCAATGCTGACTGCCTAGGAGGACATCGGGGTGCGGGAAAAGCACACGGATTTCCTGGAACAACCACCTAGTAGCCAAATGAGCTTAGACTAGGCTCTTGCCTCTCTGGGCCTCAGGCTCTTCATCTGTCAAATGGTTATCCCCATAACTAGGTTAGCCCCCTAGTTAGTTGCCAGGAAATATTTTCAGGATAAATGATGGCCTCTGTCGAATGCCTCACACAATGCCTGGCACATGCTGGGCACTCAATACCTGAGCCCCGGACTTTCTCCCTTGTGAAAGATCACTGTGGGGTTCCCGGCTCTGAGGGGTCCTGGATCTGTGCCCAGGTGGGCAAGGAGGTCCCCTGTAGCACTGAAAACGTAGTTTGCTGCTGACACGCGTGCCAAAGGGTGTCACATTTGCTCCTGAATTAGCTGCTCTCCTAAATAGATCCTCATTTGTCCCCCGCTTCCTGATCTGACCTGGGCTGCATGCTGCAGAATGCCTTGAGAACCACTGTTCATACTCACAGCCTGGAAGCGAGGAGGCTCTCACACACTTGCAAGCAACCACAAGCCCTCCCCACACTCCCACCCACCCTTTCAGCAGCTCCCTCACCCTCAGTGCACGTTAATGCTTTGGTGACCTGCCTCTGCTCTCTCTCTCTCCAAAGCTGCCCCTTAACGTGGACATTAACCATGTCATTTAGTGATGAGTGTGGCAGTTGGGCAAGATGTCAGCCAAGACTGTCCCACTCCAAATCTCTTGGAGGTGGCCTTTATCACTGATTATGAAGTCTTAGTGTTCCAAAGCTCCAGTTTCCTATTCCATTAAAAGGGGAAGAGTCTCCGGATGGCTAAATTGATATCAGTCAAAAAGGTGCTGATAGCATCTAATGTGTATTGAGCACTTACTAGGTACCAGGGACTTTACATGTGTAACCCAAATGTAACTGGGGCCTCACGCTGCCCACTCTAGGTTTGGTTACTAAACTCAAAGAAACAGCAGTACTGCGTAAGTACTAATTAAGAGCAATTTAAATGTTTACTTGGTTTCTCGAGAAAATGCCAAAGGAGAAAAGCATTCTTAATGCACAGAAAAGCTCTTTAAAGTCCTCTTTAGACATATCTCATTCTCAGGTCTTCAGTTACACAGTGGCTTCAGAAAAAGCTTTTGCTCTTTCTCTACTCCTAAGACTTCCCAAAGTCCAGCCCCCACAGTCTCTCCCCCGACACAGCGCCCCCACTCCCAGGTTGTTCTAGTCTCTTTGCTCACCCACCTCTCCCCTAGGAAACATGATCTGCCTCCTATTCTGGAAGTTTTTTCTCTCACATCACAGGACGCGGGACCCAAAGGCCTTGGTGAGTATAGTCCACCTTGCTGTACATGCACAACTGCTTTCAATCCTCAACAGCCAGTAAGTGGCGGAGCTGGGATCTTAGCCCAAAGGTCATCAGATTTCACAGTTAGAGGCTTAGCAAGACGGCTGCCATAGAATAAGTGCTCAATAAATAAGCTTCTCTAGCCTTCTGTGGTCATGTTATGGCTGCTCAAGAACCTTCAAGGGCTCCCTATTGCCTGGAGCAGGGGTAAGCAAACTATGGCCTGCAGGCCAAATCTGGCCTGCCACCTATTTTTGTAAAAAACGTTTTATTGGAACACTAAAGCTGCTTTCACCATACAGAGTTGAGTAGTTACAGCAGGAATGTATGGGAGGTAAAACCTAAAATATTTATTTGGCTCTTTGCAGAAAGGGTTTACTGACCCCTGGCCTAGGGAACAGGGGCTGCCTCTTATCCTCCTCTGGATCTGCCCAGAGCAAGTGCATAATAAATAAATTTTGAATGATCAAGATGTCCACACCATCATCTTGGAGCCACAGCCCTAAATGCAGACAGAGCCCAAATCAAGTCACGCTCTCTAACTTACCTGGTTCCAAAACAGTGCCACCCTGTCCTTGTAGGTCCCCGAGGGCCCTTCCAGGACTGCCGCAGATATCTCAGGCTCCTTGACCCTCTGGAGCTATCAGGGAAGTTGAGATGATTAAGTCCACTGCTTCTCTACCCTTTTACATCCATCCTCTGCTCTGACAGAAAAATTCCATCCTCCTCTTTTGCTGTACAACATAAAAAGTTTTCTTTTAAATTCAACAAACAAAACTATAATGTTGAATATGCTTTTTGAACTATACTCACCCCTCACTCATGAAAACCATTGATCTTGTCCAACTTGCTCATTTTGTTACTGGGGAAACTGGGGTGCAGGAAAGGACTCGAGGTCCAGTGAGATGGAGACAGAGCGAGGCTCTCCAGAGTGCCCATGCCCGCTCGGCACCCAGGTGTCCCTCAGATTCCACTCCTTGCCAGGGGTGGGGTAGGTGAATGTTCAAATGTGTGGAGTGGGGGAAGGGTTCTGTTTATCCTAGCGGCCCCAGGCCAGGCTCTTATGCTATCATGGCCTCTACCAGGCCCCTCAGAGCTCTCCAAGCTAAACTATGGGGTTTCCCACGGGAGAGAAGTGACTGGGCGCTGGGTCTGTGGTGCTGAAGCTGAAGGGAGACAAGGACCCTGAGTTCTAGGCCCAGGTCAGTGACAGGTGGCTGGAGATTCAGGAGCCCCCCAGGGGGACTGAAGAGCCCTCTTTAAGTCCAACCAACTGCCTCCTGTCTCTGGCCTGCCTCCTCTCCCCAGGCTGCTCGCTCCTCATCCTTGACGCAGGATGCTACTCCTGTCATGCTGCCCATCTGTCTCTCTCTGGCTCCTTATACCCCACCCCAGTGACACCTCACTCTAGCCTCTGGCAACGCCCTGTCAGTCTCACAGAGGTGCTTGATGAGCATGGGCAAAATCGTAGCATGTAGACTCACACAGCCCACATGTGTTTTGTTGGCCTAACACAGTACTTCAAAAACAATCTGAATTAGTAGCTCACATTTAAAAACCAGTAGGAATCATCTCAAATATGAGGTTTCTTGGTTCGCTTGAAAAAGAGGCTGGCAGTACTGGGCCTGTGTTATTTCCTGGTACGGCATCAATGACCTGGGCTAAGGAGCAGCTGCTCCCTCTGGGGGAAATGTGCACCAGTCCCCGCCATTCCCTGTTGCCTCCCAAGCCTTTCTGCTATGTTCCTTTAGCTGACCTGTGTGGCTTTGGAAGGCATTTGAGTTTGCAACCCATCTCGCTCACTTTGCTTTGAGCCCCACTTTGCCTCCCCATCCATCCCATCAGATAAGCCCCTCCCCACCCTGAGACCACCCCCAGGGAGACCATCCACTCACTCAGCCCCACAAGTATCAAGGAAGACATGCCCTAGCTGCTGCCCCCAAACATCTCTCTAGATCTACAACTCAGCCCCCAGGAGCCCTCACTCCAAGCCCCCACAACCTCCTTGGTGGTCATTCAGGAAACACGGTGGCCAACCCAACATCCTTTATTGGGTCTAAAGAAGGACCCCCGCATTCTTGTAATGAGGCAGGAGTTCTTGGATTTTATACCGGGGTGCTGTGATGGCTTGGACAACCCTCAGTGGGGGAAGATATTTCTGGTGTGCCATAAAAATGGGATAGTCTTTAGTTTTCTTGTTGAAGCTAAACAAATCCAGTGTCAGAGACTTGGGGCTGTAGATCTCTTTCTTCCTGTGCCGGACTGGAGTGAACGGGGGATGTCGGCGAGGCTTCACCAGCAGCCGCATCAGGTCCTTCCGGAAGACGTTCCAGCTGTTCTCCATGAGGAACTTCTGGCACATATCTTCATCGCTGCAGGTAAAGCACAGAGGCTGGGGTTCCCATGCCAGTTCCTCCCTGCCCTCCTGTCCCTCCAGCCTTGCCTCCTGCCACTCTTTGCAATCCCTAAACACCATGTGCACCATCCCACCTCTGTGCCTCTTCCCAGACTCTTCTCTCTGCCTCCTTTACCTTTCCACACTTTCTTCCCCTGGACCTGTGCTGTTCCACACGGTAGCCAGAGCCACATGTGGCTACTGGGTACCTGAAGTGTGGCCAGTCTGAATTAGAGGTGTGCTGTGAGTATAAAATACATGCCTAATTTCAAAGACTTAGAACAAAAAAAGAATGTAGAACGTCTCAATAATTTTTATGTTGATTACATGTTGAAATAACATTTTAGATATACTAAATTCAATAAACATATTAAAATTAATTTCACCCATTTCTATTTACTTCTTTAATGTGTCTACTGAAATTTTAAATTACATATGTGACTATTAGCCATCAGGGAAATGTTTATCACAGCTACAAATGTAAATCAAAGCTACAAATCAAAGCAGATGCCCACTAGGGTGGCTATAGTTAAAAAGACAGATAATAGGTGTTGATGATGATGCAACGAGGGTTCCAATACATCACTGATGGGAACGTAAACTGGTGCAGCCACTTTGGATAACAGTCTAGCAGTTCCTCAAACGTTAAACGGAGTTAACTTATGACCCAGCAAGCCTACTCTTAGGTATATACCCAAGAGAAATGGAAACGTATTTCCCACAAAAACTTGTACAAGAATGTTCACAGCAGGGCCGGCGCGTTGGTTAAGAGCTGGCTTGGGATGCCAGAGGACCCTGGTTCAGATCCCACATATGAGGGCCAGTGACACTGCCCTCTATAGCTAAGATGCTGAACAACAGCTCAACCTGGAGCTGGGCTGCCGTGAGTCTCAGGCAAGGGCGTTGGCTGCTGTCCCCTGCTGCAGTGGGTTGCCATGGGCTACTGTGTGTGTAGCCAGCAGCCAGCTTGAGCGGCCAGCAGCTGCCATGAGCGGCCGTCCAGAAGCCGGCGACTGATCTGCCTCGCCCGGGAAGAGCGCAATGATGGTGCCAACTTGGGCCAGTGAAGCAACATCCTCCACAACTAGACTGAAGAACAAAAGGACAGCAGCTTGTCTGTTCCCCCTCCCCCAATTCCCCAGCGCTGTTCCCATCCCCCAATTCCCCAATAAAAATTAAAAAAAAAAAAGGAAAAAAAAGAATGTTCACAGCAGCATTATTTATAGTAGCCAAAAAGGAGAAGCAACCCATCGCCCATCGTCTGAAGAATGGATAAATAATGGTATATACATGCCATGGAATGTTACTGGACAATAAAAAGGAGTGAAGTATTGATACATGCTACAACATGGATGAACCTTGAAAATGTTATACTAAGAAGCCAGTCACAAAAGACCACATATTATATGATTCCACTTAAATGAAACGTCCAGAACAGGTAAATCTATAAAGACAGAACGCAGACTGGTAGCTGCCTTGGACTGGTCTTTGTGCCCTGGCTCCACTCTGCCTCTGTCCTCATAGCCTGTGAGGGTGGGGACAGTGGAGGAGGGTGGCATGGGCTCAACACTCATTGGCTTATTCACTTCTGAGACCACAGCAAGGGAAGGGCATGTTCAACTTCCACTGACTCACCTGTGCTCTCACCTAAGGAGGGATGCCTAATAAATCACTAACAGATTAAAACATTCTTCTGGCTAGATTATATTGACCAGGGCCGAGTCAACTTTGATCCACAGAGATCAACTTGGTAAAAAATCCAGAGGTAAGAGTGGGCCACAAGCTAGTGGAGTACTCAAGTCAGCTCCTTCCACCTCACGAGAGCTGATTGTGTGCATCGCTTTTCAACTCCATGTTCAATGACATCAGGTTGGTAGCTCAAAACTGGCCATGGTGGGCATGTGCACACCACAGAAATTGGCAAACACTTCAAATCAGGGTTACCTCCCACCTCCCATAGAGCTGGTTGTTAAACGTTCACCAGCACACACTGGAGAGTCTCCACATAAAAAGTTTCATTAACTCCCAATTTCTTACACAACAACAATGCTATCTGACTTAGCGCTTACCATGTGCCAAGCACTTTACATTTTCTAACTCATTGAATCCACACAACCACCTCATTTCACAAACACAGAAACGGGGCTCAAAGAGGCTAAGGGACTCACCATACCCTATGAGGGGGCAAATGGGTCTTTACAAATTTTTAAGGGATCTTTTTTTCCAAGTTAAGACAGACAAGATTCCATGTCACCTCCTGATGCTGATGGTCCTACTGATTTCTAGTATAGTCTTTCGCTTAACAGGGTAGCTCTTCTAATGGCCTCAGCTTCGTGAAGGCATTTTAGCTCCAACCCCTGCCTCACATGGACTGAAAGGTTCACCTGTCTGTGCAGGCTAGACAACTTCAACCCACAATTCCCTTAACCCCCATCCTCGCCGGGCAATCCCAGCACTAGATCCCACTCTGTGCTTTTGGTTTTTAGGCTCCTCTTCACTTTGGCCCTTGGAGATGTCCCTTCTCGTGAACTCAGCTATTGATCCTATTCTCCATGGTACACTCTGTGTTTTGTAAGGGTTTCATGTTATCTAGCCCATTGCATTCACAGCACAGGTGTCTCAGCCACTGACTGTGATCTTCAGGATGGCACAGCCCTTTTTCTAGGCCTTGAGGCCCTCAATTAAAACATGGAGGATTTGGGCCGGCCGAGTGGCGCGATGGTTAAGAACTGGCTTGGGACGCCAGAGGGCCCCGGTTCGGATCCCACATATGAGGGCCAGTGACACTGCC